CCCATGCCTCCTCGACAAATCGACGCACGCACAGGACCGCGTCGACAGTGCTGCGCCCGCGCCAGAAGCCGAACTGCCGGTCGTGCAGGCAGCGTCCCCAGCGCCGAGTCAGGCACGCGCAGTCCCGCTCCGATATTACCCGCTCAAAGAGCTTCGCCTCGTCGTCTATCATACATATCGGGCGGTATCCGGTCGCCGCGTCCGCCGGCTTCCCCGGCTTCCTCAGCAGCACTAGTGCCGCCCGCTTCCATGCTGCCGGGAATACACCCCTCCGCAGGCACTCTGTGAAGAGGGCTCTCATGCGACCACCCATCAGGTCTACCGCCACTCCCCATGCCCTGTACGGGATACCATTGGGCCCCGGTGCGGCGTTGCGCGACATCATCCGCCGCTTGGCACCGATGAGCTCCTCACACGTCACCTCGTATTCGGGCTGCCAGGCCTTCCATCCCGTCTCCGGGAGCTCCTCCTCGTCCCAGGAGCACGGTTCGGTTTCAACCGGGAAAATTCTGTGAAGAGGGCTCTCATGCGACCACCCATCAGGTCTACCGCCACTTCCCATGCCCTGTACGGGATACCATTGGGCCCCGGTGCGGCGTTGCGCAACATCATCCGCCGCTTGGCACCGATGAGCTCCTCACACGTCACCTCGTATTCGGGCTGCCAGGTCTTCCATCCCGTCTCCGGGAGCTCCTCCTCGTCCCAGGAGCGCGGTTCGGTTTCAACCGGGAACAAGGCATTTAGGACGCCTTCCAGTGCACCCGGCTCGAGCGTCTCTGTGACTGGGGCAGACCATCTCCTGAGTCTGTTCATAACGACCAGGTACGGCCTGCCCCAGGGCTCCTCACTGAGAGTGGCGGTGAAATCCGCCCAGGATCGCTCCTTCGCCTTGGCGATCGCCCTTCTCAACGTCGCCTTCGCGCCGCCCTGAGACGCTGAACACGTAGGTCCAACTCTGCGGCGCCTGCCGAACGGCGTCTTTGCGCTCTTTTTATGGCTCTTCTAGCTGCCATGGCGCTCGACCTCAGCTCCGCCAGCTCCGGTGTCCACCAGGGCATGGCCCTCCTGAAGCGCGGCCTCGCCCGAGCCATCGCCACATCGCAGGCGTCGCGGACTATATTCCGACTGCAGATCGCAGCCTTCTCGACGTCCCATGTCTCTGCCGGCGGTGCGGGCACCCATGTGCCGGCTATAATTGCCGCCTCCATGCGGTCGCGATCGAACGACCGCAACGCCCACCGAGCGGGACGGGGGTGACTCCTGCGAGTCGCCTGGTATCCCGTCTCGCCGAATCCTAAGTGGACGTACAAGTGGTCGGACAGGGTCTCCAGCCCGAGCACCCAGTAACTCACCAATGTCGCGGCAATGGACGGGCTTGCGAACGCCACGTCCACCACCGACTCGCCCTGCGGGCGGACGCAGGTACTGGCCCCTCCTGTACTGAGGCAGCACAGCCCCAAGTCGGAGATCCAATCCACCAGGATCCTGCCCCTCAAATCGTCCACTCGAGACCCCCACATGGCACTGTGTGAGTTTAAGTCTCCCATCACGATGACGGGTACATCGTGAAACCTGTGACGGATGCAGGTTTCAACCTCCCACAGGATGCGCTCGAACTCGTTCCTATCGAGGCTGGGGGGAGCATATATGGCGATCACTCCCGCACGTCCCCAGCGAACCGCCACGAACCATTCTCCCGACTCGACCGGCGCAGTCGGGAGTGGATTCGGTACGTATCTCCAAGTGATGGCCACCGACCCTCCCTCGCTCACCGCTCATGACGGATTGTCGGTCAGTGCCCGATAGGGCTCCGATATGGCGGCTAGGCCGTAACCACTCTCGGCCATGCTTTGCAGGAGTAGGTCCTGCGCACGGCCGGAGTGGTTTACGTTCGCCAGTAGGATTGAGTTTTCCCCCTTACTCCTTCCAATCATTGGATGGTAGGGGGGACCTCCTCGTGCCGTGGATCCTTAGATCCCGTTGTCTCGGCACTCACCACGGAATCCGTTTGAGGATCCGTGTATTCGCCGACGGTGGGAGACAAGGAGCCGTGATTTGCCTCCGTCTTTTCCACGGTTGCTTCCATGGATGTGGAAGCCTCCCTGCTCTTCACCGGATCTACGGAGGATTCCCCCCGCATGACGGACCGTACCTTTGTGTGCCCTGTACTTTGGGTTTCAGGGCCCTGATCCCCCATATCCGCGACCGTTATAGCAGGCGGGGGGCGACTCCTCGCCGAATCACGGTGGGGCTTTTTGCCCACCGCTCTCGGGCGTTGCGGTAATGGCGGCAACTCACCTTCTCGGGCTTTTTCGGTGACTTCCGGCTCGAAAACCTCGACTTCTATTGCCGTGGTATCCATCACGGGGGAGTCCTCCGCTAGATAGCGGTCCGACATCTCCCCCTCACCGGGGAGTTTCCGCGGCAGGATCGTCGACAGACCTTTCCCGTCGCTCTTGCGGGTTGGGTCGGTGACTGCTCGAACCCGTCCGCCAACCCTTCCTCGGACGGTGGGTGGCGGGTTACACGCCCTACCACCCAGTCGGTGATTGGCGGGTTTTCCCCTATCCGCACGTACCACGCAGCGGAGCTGACCCGTACAGGCATTGGCCCTGTGTCCCGGCTCGCCACAGCGGAAACAGCAGTTCCTCCTGTCGAGGCTACTGCGGCACTCCGCCTGTACGTGCCCCTTCTCCGGGCACCTGTAACAGTGGATCCCCCTGTCGGGCAGAAGCTCCACTCTCACCGACGTCCAGCCAATAGCAGTTCCTCCTGTCGAGGCTACTGCGGCACTCCGCCTGTACGTGCCCCTTCTCCAGGCACCTGTAACAGTGGATCCCCCTGTCGGGCAGAAGCTCCACTCTCACCGACGTCCAGCCAATGAGTATTCTCGGCAGCCTCGTGATCTTCAGGGCCGCCTTAAGGGGGCACCTGACCCACACGGTGCCCAGCCCTCTCGAGGCCTCTGTTATCTTGCCCAGCTGCATCTCGGCCGGGTCACAATCCCCCAGCTCGGCTAGTTTTCTGTAAATATCACTCTCCGTGATAGAGGCCTCTAGGTCTCGAAGCCTAAGCTCCGCCGTCTTCTCCGGAACCCAGCTGTACCTCGGCCGGGTCACAATCCCCCAGCTCGGCCAGTTTTAGGCAAATATCACTCTCCGTGATAGAGGCCTCTAGGTCTCGAAGCCTAAGCTCCGCCGTCTTCTCCGGCCTTGAAATGA